CCCCACGTAACTGTGGGATTTGCATGAGGAAGCTGAAGTGCCACTTAAAGGCTGCCATTAATTCCCCCCCCCAAAGTACCCACTTTTGTACACCCCTGGCAAACACCACATGAAGGGAGAGCCTGTAGACTTGCAGTTGTTTTACACTCTCAGCAAAGCAAGGGTCTCTTCCCTCTCTCTCCCCCCCAGTTCCCAGCAAAATAATAAGCCCCACAGAATTAGTAACTCAAAGGTTTCACTCTGAATGCATCACAGCTGTGGAAAATGCATACCCCGGTTTTCTGGGCTGATGGCTTCCACTTGTATCCAAAACAATCATCCCTGTAATTCCCACTCAAGACTGCTTCCCACCACCACCCTTAGCAGGAAACATTCCCAAAATTGAAGCCTGAGCTTATATGACATAGAAACGTGAGGTGCCGAGTATCTGAACGTTCTCAGCGTGCCCTCAAAGCACCAGGTGGGCATAGCGTGCAGAGTCACAACTACAGCATGGGTTGGGCAGGAAAGGATAAGGCCTCCTCCCTTCTCCTTCCAGCTTGCTTAAATGGATGAGGATGTACTCGCCTGACAAAGATTTCTCCTCTTGCTGTGGCCAGAAATGGTTATGAAATGTTAACTCTTTGCTGCAAGCTCTTCGGTGCGATGCTGGTGCTGCCTCTCCCCTCCATCTATCTCATTTGGTGAAGTAACGTTTTGCCAGAGATACAGCGGATTCATTAGCTGCTTTCAACAACACAGCCACTCTCAAGTCTTGAGAGCATTGAACAGTGTTGTTTGTACTCACCCACAGCACAGGTCCTCTGTCGGCAAGGCAGCCTCCACCTGCTCCAGACCTGCGCAGGGCAATTTGGGGGTCTTAAGGTCCAAATCTGGAGGCTTAGTGAGTGGCATGCTGCCAATGGATCCTCTTGATGGAACCCACTCTTGTTATTTGTGCTGATCCAGGCTGTCGGACTACCAGGGTCTTGATAAACTCCCTACTGGCAAAGAGTCACCCCCGGTGATGGGGACTGGGCAGCGTGTCCTGCTGTGCAACAGTAGCCAGGTCGGCAGAGGTGTTGAATGGAGCACAGGGAGGGCACGCACGGTTGGCGGTGCAGCTGCCATAGGGCCTGCACTGCAGAGCTGTGTTGCAAACCCCAGTATTGACTTACCGCTACTGGGATCTTCACATGGAGAGATGGTCTCCTGAAGCTCCAATCAGAGAATCATAGAATGGTTTGGGTTGGGAGGGACCTTGAAGATCATCGAGTTCCAACCCCCCTGTCATGCGCAGGGACACCTCCCCCTAGACCAGGTTGCTCAAAGCCCCATCCAGCCTGACCTTGAACACCTCCAGGGATGGGGCATCCACAGCTTCTCTGGGCAGCCTGTTCCAGTGTCTTACCACCCTCACAGTAAAAGAGTTTCTTCCTAATATCTAATCTAAATCTACCCTTTTTCAGCTTAAAACCATTACCCCTCGTCCTATCACTACACTCCCTGATAAAGAGTCCCTCCCCAGCATTCCTGTAGGCCCCCTTCAGGTACTGGAAAGCTTCTATAAGGTCTCCCCAGAGCCATTCCTTCTCCAGGCTGAACAACCCCAACTCCCTCAGCCTAGCCTATCCTTACAGGAGAGGTGTTCCATCCCTCTGATCATTTTTGTGGCGCTCCTCTGGACTCGCTCCAACAGGTTCATGTCTTTCCTGTGTTGAGGGCTCCAGAGCTGGACGCAATATTCCAGGTGGGGTCTCACCAGAGCGGAGTAAAGGGGCAGAATCACCTCCCTCCATCATTTCTCAATCACCTTTCTCCGTCATCCTCCACCCTGATGTCTCATGGCCAGTTTCGGCTGCGTCGGGCAGAGAGGGGCAGCCCCGGGCAGCAGCAAGGGAGGGTGGAGTGCCCCGTGGAGGGAAGGGCTCCACGCCAGTGCAGGGGCTGAGCCAAGCGTGCTGTCAGCACAGCCATCGCCCGGGGCAGCTACAGGAAAGGGCTGCCCTGTACTAGGGGGATGTGGAAAGTTGCTGGTAAAGACACAATTTTAAAATAAAAGTGAGTTTCATCACTCTGCTGCTCCTGAAAGAGGTCTTCTTAATGAGATGGTTCCCACATCAGAAAGTTGCCTCTTTAAAAGTCACATTTAGTGCAAGGGGAATATTCCTGTCATTGCTTCAGCTGCACTTGGTTGAAGACACCATCTGCTGTGACACTCGGCCAGCTTGGCATTTAAAATGTCATTTAGACCGGAAAGCAACCGAGCTTGGATATTGAGGCAGATGTCATCAGCAAAGGTGAACTTCCATAAATGAATGAGGTTGCTGATACAAGGACTGAATCGCAGAAGTGTTTACAGAGAGCCCTGTGGAAGACTGCTGATTTTTCTGCATATGCTTTATTTCCTCTACACGCCTTATGCGGTCTACCTTGGAGAAGCAATGTTACGAGAGATGTCAGTGAAATTCTGCATTTAAAATCCAACATTTGTGCCTCCTGCTGATTAAAGCAGGGTGGGCAGGTTTCCGTCCTCTCCAGAAACGGGATTGATGACATTTTCCAAACCGAGCTGCTGAGCCCTAGGCTTGCTTCAGCCCGGTGGGGCAGGAGGACGAGCCCATTTTCCTGCCTTTCTGTGGAGTATTGCTGCACACAAAGCTGTTCAAAACTGCTTGCTCCCCCAACGTTTCTGTTCCAGTCGACAACAAAAGGACAAACCAGCTCCAAGCGTCCTTTCTTCAGCACAGGAAGAGTTACTGCATCCCTGTTCGTCCCCACAATACAGCAGCTCATTCCCAACACCACCTCCTGACATGTGCTTAGGCTGCCATCCAAAAAACCCACAGGACCAAGAAGGATGAGGAATGGAATAGGTAGAAAACGCATTAAAAAGGAGTAGAGGCTAAAACTAATAGAGTTAATTGCTCTACCCAGGTTTGTGCCTGTAGGGCATGTATAGATGAGTGTTAGTAATGAAGAGTGTTAGTAACGAAACTCGTCAGCAGCGCTGGGGGGGACTTCATTCTTAAGGTCAAATAATCTATCAAGATGAAAATGTTGAAAGAGTCCTTTCTACCTACGCTGCTCAGTGCGGTTCAAATTGCTTTTCAGCTGTGCCCGGTGCTTTTGTTGACTTAAAGTAAATTAAACATTATCCTTTTTTAATTAGGTTAGGAAATCTCAGTAAGTGCTACTTCCTACTAATTTGAAGACTAGAACTAGTTTAAAGCAATTAAAGCTGAAAACCCCACCTTTGAATAATGAATTAATACGGAAATTGATTTAATAAGCAACTGGGCTTTAAGTGACCCAGTCAGGTGGGGATGAGAACGAAAAGAAGCCAGCGTAGAGCCAGCGGTGCTGCCGCTGGGGTGGCTGCTTGGGAGCAAAGTAGTTTTTTTCTGCTTGACAGGCAACTGCAAGCATATAATATATCCAAACCTCTTCTTAGTTGTCTTTAACAATGATTTTTATAAGGAAGCGTATTGGGTGTTACTGTCAAGGTGCTGGCAGCGGGGCCTGCTGGGGAAAGTGTATTTTAGATGGGGCAAAAGCACTGCACAGGCAGAGGAGGAGGAGAAAAGAAGTGAGCAGCAGCTGTGCGGACACCACGGTGAGAGCAAGAGGGTGAGGTGGCCCTCCAGCCCCCAGAGCAGAGATTCCCCCCACAGCCCTGGGAGGAGCCCACACCGGAGCAGGTAGGTGTTTCCCGGACAGGAACTGCAGCCCGTGGAGAGCCCATGCTGGAGCAGGTTTATCCTAAAGGACTAGAGCCCCTGGAGAGGACCCACGCTGGAGCAGGGGGAACATGTGAAGAAGGAGCAGCAGAGAGGCGCTTTTATGGACAACCTCTGTTCTCCAGTGCCACTGTGGGGGGAGGCAGAGGAGTCGGGAATGAAGGTGTAAAGTTGTGCCTGGGAAGAAGGAGGTGGGGAAGGAAGGTGGTGTTAAACATTATTTTTTTTCCTTTGTTTCTCACTATGCAAATCTGTTTTAATTGGCAATAAATTAAAGTCAAGTCCCTTTTGCCGATGATGGTAACTGGCAAGAAGCCTCCTTGTCTTGACCTCAACCCATGAGCTTTCTATTTTTTGCCCCATCCAGTTGAGGTGGTAGAGTGAGTGAGGGGTTGGGTGGGCATCCCACCACCATCATTATCTACAGACTCAGTCATCAGATAGAGGAAGCCTTGTGGAGAGGGCAGCTCTGCTAAAAAATATTAGCAGGCTAGAATAAGAATCAACCAACTGCAAGATACAGAAAAAAGCCACAGCTCAACCAACTCTCAAATGTGAACTTGCAAACTTCACATTTTTGAAAACAGGTGCTGGTACATTTTACTTTTCTACCCCCCAAAAAAGCATGCATTCTCAAACTTCCAAAGACCTTTAAAGTCTTGTCACAACAGGGCTAACAGCCCATCCCAAGCTCTTGTGAGAACATCTTCTAATGAATCTCAATAGCACAGAAACAACAAAAAAGATGTGACAGGGGTCGCTCTGCTTATGGCTGAGTTCCCTTAGCGGGTGCAACGTCATTTGATTACTGTAGCCTTTCAAGTTTTATATTATGCATCATGCCATACTGTAACACAGCAACGCATGCATACTCACACAAAAAGAATTTATGAATAAAAACTATAATCCTTGATTGGCCTTATTATTCTAACTTGTCTTATAAATATTTAAAGAGATGGCTTCCTAAAATAGTACATGAATAGTACATTATTTGCCATGCAGAGACTACAGTAGGATAATGTTAAAGATGAGAATCCTTTATTTCAAATTTAGATTTGTATTCTGTTGAACGGTATAAATGTGAGAAGTGACTCTCACAGGAACGGTTATCATGCTAAAAAGACTTTGAGAGCTGCTTATGTGAAGATAAGAGCCACTGACGATACGACAAAAAGCCCAGTATCTTGATGAGATTAAGACTTGTCACGTATTCCGTCCTCTACCTCTTCCCAATGTTTTCTCACTTGTTCTCCCCCCCAGTTCAATAAACTAAACTACCGCTATTATAGGAGGCTTTTATTTTGAACAAAACCAGTGAAAATACAATCTACGCTGATGGCCAAAGCTGAAGTAAGTCACATTTGTTGTTGTTATTTGCTAGCTGTTGTAGGTGGGACCCACTCTTGTATCTTCTTGCGAGTAGTAGAGTAAGGTACATACTGCCCGGGAGTGCCGCTCAGATTGAATTTATGGTTCTCCCAGATAAATTTACGAGCAACTGGTGGATGAGTAGTTGGAGGGTCATCCGTCATTGAGTGAAGCCAGCGGTGCCTTAAGAGGAAAAAGACACATGGTTATTATGGAACATCTCATGATCTATAGCAAGCCTTCCTCCCGACTCCCAAGGGTTCTCCTCTGAATAAACAATAAGTATTTATTTGGGGGTGGGGGAATAATTTTAATCCAGTATGACTTTGAATGAGACTACGGGATACTGATTTAAAGTAATTACACAAACATAACTGATAAATAGCAGTTCTGCTTCCAAGCAACTGAAAGCACACTTGGGTTTGAACGTCCTGTTTCTTTGTGTGCTTAGTATTTGGGCAGAGTATTTCATTGTTACATGTTCGTATGGCCTTAACCAGCCAGCCAGGTCAAGGCGGGCACCACAAATTACAAAACCCCAAGGTTTTGTTTTGTTGTCTGGGTTTTTCTGGGGGGGTTGGTTTTTTTTGTATGTGTTTGTTTTTTGTTTTTATTACCAAAAGACTACACTGCACAAGTTCAATACCAGCTCCAAAGCATTCAGGAGGCTACCGCTTGGGATATGGATAAATGATGCAAGTTCACGTAAAACAATCACGTAAATGTTTACTGACTGCACAATAAAATGATTAATACCAGTCAGTAATGGGGTAATTACCAAGTGATTATAGTGATTACCCTTTACCTACGAACTAAACGTCAATTCTCCCCTGTGCAAACAACATTAATGATCAAGCAAAGTATTTTCCATACCAATTTACTGAAACACTACAGCAGGGATCAACTGAATTGATTTCATCTCTTTTCTATTTCAGTGCCCAAAGCAACTTTCAAACCTGAATAACATTTTAATTATCTGCCAGTTTACATGTACTTCATACTGTATGCACAATTATGACAGAAGTGAGGTTATGACTTCTTTTGCAAGCTTACATATTTTTTTACTGAGGTAGAATTAAAGAAGCTTCTGCTAATCAGCTTTTGCCAAAGACTTGACCTAAAAATAAGAAGTCTTCTATTCTAGTTGTTATTAGAAAGCCTAAAAATTGCACCTTCAGCCTTTAGCAACAAATCTGGCATACTTCATTGATACAGCAAAACAAAACCACAATAAAAGTAGTGAGAAATAGACTGACAAATATATTCTAAATCTGAAAAGCTGTACAGAAGGTTGATTATCTTTTCAATCAAATAGCTTCTAGACATTTATTTCAGAAAAAGAAAAAAACCTCACAAGTTGGATATAACTTCAGTACAAAAATCGCACTTTAAAAAATGTGTCAGCCATATGTTCATTTTTATACAGAAAAAAAACAAACAAAAACCCCAAATGAAAGCCACACATTGTAGGACTAAGGACTGCCAGGAAACTGGCTTGAATACCAAGCTGGATGGAACCATAAGATTCTTTAAAAGTATGAAGAAAAAGCTTGTTTAGAGGTAAAGAATGGCCTCCTATTGGAAAAACCATCCACTTCGGAGTGTGAGAGTTATACATACGTTCAGATGAAGTGACCCAATGCAACACAGACGGGACAGGGATCCCTCTCTTCCTCCCTCCACTCTCCTTTGTAAATCTGGTATCGTTTGAAGTATGTTTCCTGCTACTTCTACTAAAAAAGATTTTGTGTAATGATTTCTGTCTGGCAGAAGGCAGCTCCATAGCATTACTAATCACACTGTTGTCTGAGGATACAGGATCAGATGTTGCTCCATTTTAAACCTGGTATTACCAGCCTCTGAAATGTCCTGGCCACACAAAGCTCTGACATTACATGAACTTGCTCCCCCAGTTCACACCCATTAGAAGAATTCTGTGTACTACTAGTGGGCTTCACACTACCTGAGATACCACGCATCCTATGATGTGTCGCATCAAAGTTGGCAGCAACTCTGTAAAACAGCTAACTTGACAGAGGTGGGATTGTACGCTCATACCCAACAAGCCATCTCTCTATGGCTAACACAAAGAAGCACAGTTTGTGGCATGGGACAAAGGGGAAAAGAGCAGTTCATGTGTCCATATACATTCTGCCAATACCGACTTAAGTATTGCATTTCAAAATGCTTTGTAGTATCGCTCTAGAGCAGCCTCAGTTTGTCAAACCCACTTACCGTAACGCACAGAGGGAACTTAAACACATGCACCTTCACCTAGTGATGCTTCTGGTAATAGTGGATAGGGATCCTGCAAACAAACCCTATTTATGCACCTGTAACCGTACCTGACCATCTTCCCACTCCCCTGAGAGTCATGCACACCAACAGGACAAACAAAAAATTGTTTTCTCAGACATAAATGAAGTTACAAAGGCCCTGAAAGACAGGCTGGAGCAGGTGAAACACAAGAACTCTATTAAAGCTCAGTTAAAAATCAAACACATTTCAAGCTTGCATGATGTCTGGCACCTCTTTGCTTACAAGCGCATTGATGATGTACACTCACTCCTTGAAACATCAGAAAAATTAGCACAATATTGACTTACTCATTTAACTTGGAAGACAGAAAACAGAATAGTTCCATTCTGTCATTTAAACTATTGTTTTGCAGCTTTTCTAAGACTAAATCTGTGAAGTCTTTTAAAATACAGTATTTTGAAGTAATTAAGATATTTGCTTTCAGGATTGTCTGATGTTCTATAACATCAACATGAAATCAGGCTCAAATTTAAATAGATCAGCAAACCCAGTCCTTAAATCCCATTTTCTCCCTGGAAAGTAGAAATAAAATCACTCAGCTATGAGACATGTCAGTACAGTCACAGGTACTGAAATACCTGAAAAGATTTCAAAAGTCCGTTTAGAACTCCATCCACTATTAAGTACGTTTTTATTTAAGGGCTTCGGGGCTTATGCCTGGTCACAACAGATTCCCCTTAGAAGCCCAGCATGTGACTTATAAAAGCATTTTGATTTGCAAAGAGTCTGTTCTCTTAAACCAAAGTTCCCACTCTCCACTTAAGCAAAATATGTAGAAACTGAAAACTTTATTTTGGGAAGACTTTTCCCTTGACAACCTCCCTCAAAGAGTCCTTTGAAGCCCTGATGTCTCATAGACTCTACTCCCAGATGCTCAAGAAAAGCTTTTCACGCACTAGATTGAACAGCATGAATAAAGACATTTGATGTCTTGCAGATGGCCAGATTTCTATACAAACTCTGCCTATAAATCCATGCATGGAAAAACAGGATTCAAAAGCAATTAATGATTTAAAACCTACAAAAAAGCAGAAAAGAAAGCAAAGAAAATAAGGGGGATAGCAGAAGCAGCTTCCTGAATCACAGAGCAGGGTCACCACCAAGCAGGCTGAGGCTAGCAAAGCCCCTGGACTTTTCCTTAGTAAACAGACAAAAGACACCGCAAAGCATCTTCAAATGCTCTCAAGACTATGTAGAATTTCCTCCCAAGTCTTAGACAAATATTTAAAAGCAAAGAGATTTCAAACTGAAGCTACAAGGGACAGGAGCCAATTATATGATGTACAAGCTGTCAAACAAGAACCAATGCTACACAAACTCCGCAGCTACTACCATATGTGCATCTGCAAGGTTCAGGCACCGCCTATGTAAGTTCAGGTTGTTTGCCAACTTGTTAGCATCCACTTTTTTCAACAAGTTAACCATGCTGCAATAAGACAAAAGAGAAGTGAAGATGTGCATTACAGTCAAAGGGCAGAGAAGAATGAGAAGAGAAAGAAAAAAGGACAAGAAATGTGTTTATTTGTTTACACATGGGAGATAACTGATTTGTCACGCAAGCTACGATAAGATACCATTGTATAGTAATGAGACAACATCCCATTTACCTGAAAACACCACACTAGCATTTAATCTAGTCATAAACCCCACAAATTTATTGTGAAGCTATTGAAAGGATGGGAATTTTACCCTCCTTCCCCCTTCCTTTTCTGTTCATTTTTTCTGTTTTGTTTTCCTTGGAGGCAGACTTGAAAAGCAGCACTTTTACAGGAGAACAGCACATTTCTTTAAGTTTCTTACTATGTTGGCACTTTAAGTCTGAGATGCTACATTCCTCTCTCCTTCAGCTGTCAGATCAACTAACAAAGAGGATGTGGATTATTAACCCGAAGTTAAATTTGAAATATTTCATTGTATGAAGTTAGCACTCCTGAAGTTCCTTCCAAAGATGTCAGATTTGCACCACAAGGAAATAAACATCAAAGTACAAGACAGACACTACACATACATAGGACAGTGCTGACAAAATGAAATGTCCCTGCCAAAGGAGAAAACTATTACCAAATTACAGTTCTTCTTTCAGATACTGAAAGAGAAAATTACTTTTAACTAGTTTGTATACATAAACCAGTAGTCAATTTGTTTTTGCAAAGTATTTGGCCAAAACATTACATTAAAGCAGATAAATGGTAAATGAAGAGTGTGCAAACAGCCACGAAAGACTTCTAATGTGATGCAGGAGCGGAACACCTAGCATCTAGGATATCAGGTCCTGGCTTGCATGGACTTTATATACTCTCAAAAGGAAGGCTTAATCCACAGCATAACCCTGCTGAAAGTGGAAGACTGTTCCAGCGCACCCTCAGCGCGCTCAAGCTGAACCTCCCAGAATCCTCCAAATGCAAACTTGTGCTCTTCAGAATTTCAGCTACAGGAGTATGCTGATTGCTGAATAGCAAATGGGAGCCTACGGCAGGAATAAGCAGACACATAAGGAACTCTTCCATGACATGTGAACATAACCTGAACAAAACCTCTCTCCTCGGATCCCAAACAGATTAAGGACAGTAAGATACTTAGTCCTCTCCCCTAACCTTGATACACTGGAAATAACCAACAAACCCTCAATTGTGAGGGCCAAAGAATCTAGAAATACAAGTCTGGAAGGGAGTTAGACACTGCATATGCTTTAGACCCAAGGACGTATCAGCTACATCCATGTCAGTCCCAGCAGATGCCTCCTTAATTTATTATGGAGTTGCTGTATATTGGTACGCTCATCTTCCCAAACCAAGTTATGCCAGTGAAGATGAGTAGATTTTTTTAGTGGTAAGGATAGTAATGTCCAATCTGTATCACTTCCTCTGTATTTTAAACCTACTGCTTCCTATCCTACCCATCTATCTGCGGAAGATGGACTATGCCTTTCCCTTCTGCAAGAGATTAAATGCTTCAAGATTATATCCATCATCATTTCCTCTCCTTTTTAAGCAAGCCCGATTCTTTCCAACTGTCCTCAGAGGTCTGATTGTTCTTGCTGCTCTTCCTTAGGCTTCTTCTGCTGGTCTCTGTGTGTGTGTGTGTTTAGGTTTTTTTAAGCACGTAGTACCAGAGAGGAGTGCTATACCCTATATAAGTCTTCCTGGTAATAAGCAGAAAGCAAGAGTCTCTTTGCATGAATGCAGGCAGTAATTCTTCCTACTGCTCAGTACGGCACGCTTCTTTCTCAGCACTATGATAATGTGGACTTACTCAACCTGCCATCCCCCTAACACCTAGATCATCCTGCAGCACTGCCCCTTGCGCTCCTCCTGCACACCATAAAGTAAGAGGCTGGAGGTGCCAGAAGAGCACGGTCCTGCCCTCTGTCTCTGCATTCAGTCATATGATTTCACTCTTCCTTTTCCTCTTGTGATCATAAAGGGAGACAATGCTGCGTTGCCAAACTTGTGAGTGCAGATAAACTGCAGCTGGTAATAACATTCATGAAAAAAGCAGCACTGAACCATTCAATTCATCTGTCTGTATTTACAGCCCTAATATTTCACTTCTCTGTACAGCCTTTGATTAAGGGGGTGGGGGGGGAAGCTAACATTGCTTTAAGAACACTTCCTTACTAACAAACCTGCCCAGAACATTTCAGCTAGGCTTCAGCGTGCCTGTGATCCAAGGCTGCCTCTACTGGGGCAAGTGGGAGGGTGGACGGAGAGAACTATAACTCCTATCGACCTTGCCCAAGGAAGACAGCAAACCACATTATTATCAAGTAGTACACATTCAAGATAGCCAGTTTTTACTATGAAAACTCTTTGCCTTTGAAAATACTTTTGGTACCCTAACTAGCACTTACAAGCTGCTCAGGGATTGCCAAAGAGACACATGTTCCTCTTAATCTTAATGCTAAAGTTCTCTTCCCTGAGACCTTTCAAAAGCTTTTCTACAGAGCCAAAAGTATAAAGCATTAAACCTGAAAGTCATTTATCTGTACCATCTTCCTGCTTGGTTTTTGATTATTTTTAAGCAAACAGAAAAATCTTTTGCCCTTAATGAGTGCATCTGTACATACTGTACATAAGTTGTGACTACACGTGAATGTGAGGACATGCATCAAGCAGCGTACCCCAGTTGTATAAAATAGTATCTGTCACCTGGGGGTCCTAGAGGTGATTTGCTAACCCTAGTATTTGTAGGTTGAGAGATAAAAGACTGAGAAACAAAAGGCGATACACAACAAAAGGGCCTTCTAACATAACAGTAAAATGGAAATGAGCTCAACAGCCCAATGATTACAGCAATTCTGTAGGAAGACTTCTATGAAAGCACCAAATAGAGTGCATACAGACACTGGTACAAGCAGATTTAACCTTTTACCATTCTTATGTTCACACAGTACACCCCATCAGTGTTTAAAAATGAAAGCACTGAGTCTCTGCAAACAAAATGCTCTGAACAGTAGGAGATGAAACAAGTATTTTGGCTTTCATAACTGACTAACAGTGTAAAAGAAGTCTTCGTGAAGGAAAAAAAATATGCCCAATATCTTGTACAGCATTACAGGAAGATTAATACTAATCATTCCCAATGCAAGTATGGAGGGAATTAAAAAAAAAAAAAAAACTAATTAACTTGTCTCCAAAGTAGATACCAACATCTTCATTTTGAAGATAAGAGAAGAAAACCCAGAGTAACAAAGAGGTTAAATAACACAGCCAAATCAGAATAAACCACAAGCCTACATATTCTGGTATGGCAACATTTTAAAAAAGCAACAGCCTCAATTCCCTGTATAGCAGACGTGTCAAAACAACTCTCTTGATTTCCTTCAGACTGTGATTTCAGTACATCCGTTGTCAAAAGACATTACACCAATTATTTCAGAATACTGAAAATATTCGGTAGTTCCTAAAAACGGTACTACAATATGTTATTATATGAGATGTCTTTTCTTGCTGCTTTTTCCTCTTCTCCAGTATCTGATAAAAGGTAACAGGTAGCTAAATTAATTCATATTTTATTTTTTCCAGACAGTTGTTTTCAGAACTTTTCAATATACCAAAATTTTTTCTTCCAATTCATCATGTATGAAATGCAAGGTCCACCTAATGGTATTTCAAAAATCATTCTTATTCCACAATCCTGAAGGCATGTGACTGACCACAAAATTATACCTGAAAATGCACAGTGTATTCAACTAGAAACATGAAGAAAAACAACCTCTAGTATGACTTATACTGAAGAAGAAAAAAAGGAAGAAAGTGGTTTTCCTGCATATCTGCTTGTGTTCTCTATACTTCCTAAGAAAATAGTATACCTACACATACAGTAGGATTTTTATGAGTACTACAAAACCATTACAAACTAGTTAGCATTACTGTTAAAAAACCCGAAAATCTGCAATCTCTAGGTTAGCCCTGGTCTTAAATCTGAATTTTGTTAGAAGTGTCATCTTTAGGCATGACAGTTGCAAAATATTTTCTGAAAGTAACACCAGCATATACAGTGTAGCAAAACCCACTTCCACCTGCAGAGGGTATAACAACACACCCACAAAACGCTCCACTGAGCTGAATTAAATAAAACCCAGAGTCAAAAAAATCAGTGTTTAGAGGAATTATGCAGATCACAACCCAGCTGTTACAATGGTACTTTATATACTTCCTAGTTGACTCAAGGACAACAAACTTGTCTGAACTTTACATCTGTTAAAGGGAGGGCTAGTGCTTTAGGAAATAATCTTTTTTTTTTTTTTAACAGCTGACAGAACAGATACGGGACCAAATGAATCTATTTGTTAATAGATGTAATTTCACACAATCTGATTTATTTCCAACAAATTTCTGGGTCCAAAAAAACCCCACTCATTTCCTAAATAGCTGCACAACCCCAGTGTTACACTGACAGCAACTTGTACAATATATTAACCGTCTCAATTCAGAAGTCTATGCCATGTTAAAAATTTAAGACAGTATACCATCAGATGAAAAAAAAACAGAGTCTTAAAAGACAGCATTTATTCCCAGTCAAAATACTTCTGCTTTTAAAGATGTATCATACCAATACAGAATTACAGGTCAGTGATTTAGATGTGTCACAAAGCTATGATTCCTACATGAGAATAAATATATCTAAGGTTGCCATGGGATATACAAATTCATCAGCAATAAGAAAAAAAAAAAAAAACCAAACAAAAAATTGAACAATACTGCAAAACTAAATTTCCTGACAAAAATACCTTAAAACACAGGACTGTTTACCTTTTCATGCCCCATTGCATTAACCAGTCTTGAAAATAATGAAACACTCACTGTTTCTTCTAGGGATTTTTTTTTCCACGTTGATAGGAAAACAAGTTTTTCTACCTCACTAATTTGTGTGATCTAAACAAACTACTTAATCCTAGAAACACCACTTTTGATACTCAGGAAGAAACCCTTTATCAAGGTTTGTAAGGACACAATAAATAACACATAAGCACGAGCAAAGAAAAAAAAAAACAACAACAAAACCCACACCTCAAAATAAGGAAAATCTTGAAAACTGGCACAGTCTAATAGTGAAAGGATAAAAACTAGAACCAAACAACAGTTATTACGCAGATAACAAGGAACAGCCCTGCACTGGCAGGAACACACTAGTTTTGGAGATTCTAACGTCACTTCTAAAAAACAATCCCATTAAGCTCTTACTGGAGAAGACAGAAAAAAACATTAACTGCATTAAACATAATTTTACAGCTGGGAGAATCTGAAACAAAACTGACTACCAAGACAGTCTACCCACGTATTTCTCAAATGTTCTAATGAGAGCCACAATTTAGGAGTTTAAGATAATCAATCTCAGCCTTGGCACAGAACATGTATTACAGGCAGAATAAAAGCCAGTGTTCATGAATGTTCAGTATACCCAAGCACCTTTTATTTCATATCACCTTTCATTGCTTTGTGTCTGAAGTGCAACTCTTATTCCTCAAAAATCAGGTAGAGATTGCTTTTGCTAGCATACGCTGTTATTTTATTTGGTGTGTGTTTTTCCTGAGTTATTTAGGAAGACAAAAAAAGCATTAACAGCTGTGTGGCCAGAGACCTTCTGAAGTTCAAGACTGTACAGATTCGTTACTGAAATGCATGAAGAGAAAATAAAACCTTAAGAAAAATCATAGTCAAGCAGCAGTCAACATATAGACAATCCTGGCCCTTTGCTGTTCATCATCTTGTAGAGTATCAGTGTCTATCAACTGAAACAATTACGCTGCTAATGCCTGTGGATTAAGGAATGTTGTTCCATCACTGCCATACATTCTTTAGGTTCTTGTCTAGAATGAATAATAAAAATATTTTTTCTACTTCTGGCTGCTCAATGCTACTGTAGGCTTTGCCAGACCATTAAGATGGAATCGCAACTAATAAGGAAAATTGGAAGACTGGCTCGAGCTACTCAATTTGGCTGGCAAAATGCTTTTCTTATTCCAAGAAGCAGTAAGTGCCACTGTCAGGACGGTGAGCAAAATAACATTATAAATGCAGTTCAAAATTAAAAGTAACCAGTCTGAAATCTTCTGGTCATATATAGGATAGCTGCATCCAAGAAAACTTAATTCCCATTAAATTGTTGTGGTTTTTTTTTTTAACCTTCTCTTTTGTAATACAAGAAAATATATAGGCAATTACACAATTGCTATGTGTCCACATTATTAAACTAAATGGTTTACCATTCAGGGGGCACCATACTTCCATCAACTTCCCAAAATGTATTTTTGCCATTCATTTCATCAGTATAGATGACCCATCTGTGTCGACCTTAAGCAAACAAACAGAAATATTGTATTAGCTCAAAAAAATAAATTATTTTCATGTAAAGGAGAGAATTCATAAAAACAGAAGGAAAAATATTTTGAATAAAAGTATCTACCATTATGGGTACCTATTTCAATGTCAGTACAGCTTTTATTTTTCTAAGTCTTCTGTATTTCCACTGTTACTGGATTTTTACATGGCTGAACCTAACACTGTCACACGGAAGCAAGTTTTAGCTATTGTATAACTAATGGGAAACAGGACCTTGCAAAGTTTTCAGGCAGAGAAAGAGCTTTGGAGACTTTTTCCCCCCATTAGGAGGAGTCTTTTCCAAAATGACATTGCGATTAGTAACCTAAGATTAAACTAAGTTTCAGCCACATAAAACTAGCAAGCAATGTCTACCAGCGACTGTTTTCCCCAGGTACCCTACAAATTAACCTACAGTAGGCAGAGTTTGGCCTAACCTGCGCGTCAATTGCTTATGTGTCACCTTCACTGTTTTATGTGCTACCTTTTTAAGTACACTAGAAATATTATTTAAAATCCCATTACTTAAGGTAATAGGCAGTTTAAGCTAACCTGTGCTTCTTTGCCCTGAAGTGATCAAAGAATTAAGTACAGCTGTGAGGCAGGTTTAAAGGCAGTTCTCTTTCTTCCTCCACCTGTTAAGCTAGCAGCTTTTAGGTCAAGGACCAAACTCAGTTCTCAATCACATTATCATATAGGCAAACCTACACAGAAAGCACCTAACTGGCTTAGATTTATCCCATATTTATTATGTGACATTGAATATGTTTGCAAATGTATTGAGGGAAGCAGTAGAGAGACAGAAGATGTCAAAGCATTTCTATGAACCCTCTCTCTACGACTCATACAAGTCAAGTGCGAGGAAGTTGGGCAGACAAGTTCTATTTCACCAGCAGAAACTATGCAATCTATACAAAGCTGGATAGTCAGTCAGAAGGTGTTCACATTAGCACACATACCAAAGAAGTTTCTTCTGTCTTCATAGTATTTGTTTCCATATTTGTCCGTTCCTACCAGCGTACCAGTCTTCAAATCATTTACCCTGTGAATTCCCAAAACAACAGTTTCAATTAACATCGTCTTAGAACGAAGCTGTGATAGGTTTCTTATGGGTTGGTAAAAATCTGTAATAAAAACTCTAACACACATATATGTAAAGCTATTTTTAAAAAAAACACTATTCAAGCTTAAGGATTGCAAAACATAATCACCAATTCCTGCAACTAATGTCAGCATGCCTTTACTGTGTGCCCCACTGACAGGATAATAGAAGTCATACAAAAAGGCTTTTGGAGCCTATTATTTATTTAAAAGCTCTTTATAGTGGAAGATAAAGCACCTCTGCAATATAGCACAAATTTGCACCCACAAACCCTTAAATACTGTGGAAAAGAGTCCCAGAGACACATGTCAATTCACTTCTTTGAAGACGTTACCATCCTTCTCAACTACTTGTTACTACCATTTCAGCTTGAATTGCCATGGAAAGTGGTCAGCACTGAAGCAGTTTAAGAGACCGCACACGTCTGTGTGGGCACTAACCTCCAGGAGAGGAATAGTAATATTTTAATCCATTGTAGCTGCTTGCCAAAGAAACGCATGCTGAATCCTAAATTAAAATTGTTATTTTCTGGCTTTTGTATAACTGTGAAAAATGCAAGGATTTACCCTGTCACTTTGGGAGACTTACACTGACCCAGGTAAGGTATATACCAGCTTCAACTCTTCGTACAGAACATATTTTAACATTACTGTACGTATCAATAATTAAACTGAACCTATGATTTACAATCTGTCAATAAAACCTTAAAAATACTAAAGCGTTCTTTTCCCCCTAGATCTGCGTCTTTGCTTTCCTTTTTACTGACATTTACCCCAGGCAGAATTACATAAGGAAAAGTTTACTTTTAGTTGTTTATAGTACTATACATACTCTCAACTCAGTCCCAAGTGACAGAACAGATGTGCACGTGCATGCTTCCTTAGGTGGGACCTGACAAATAAAGGGTTTTTTTGTTGTTTTTTTTTTTTTCTCCCAGGGTCCACAAAAGCGATAATCACTCCACCAAGCACTCATTTTAAACCTCTGTGGTACCAGGCAGAAAGATTCTCTGATGCAGCTCTCCTCTGTCAAAGAAGCGCTCAAAGATCTCTTGCTCAGCTTTTCAAGCCCCAGCTTCAGAAAAAGAAGAGCCATTTCACTGCTGCTCTCTCTTCCTTCTTCCCCTCCCTTTCTTGTAAGGGTTCTTACAGCCCTCTCCTGACTTTATACCCTCAGTACTGATATCAAACACTAAGATGTATTTCTAGCTTCCAGAGGACATTTTCCAGCCAATTTCCCCGAGTCTTGAGTAAGGAGGATGTTTCCAGGCACGTAGGCTCTTAATAATTTGACTTCTACTGCATAAAACCTGTTCCAGCCTCCTCAATGGGAAGCACATAGAGAAAAGCACGGAAATTCAGAATAAAACCTTTGCAGAGAAAGAGCCTCCTGACTTGGGTAAATTCATTTTTCCAAGTTGCCAGTAGTTACTTCTTAAACACACCAACTGTTGCAAGAAAGATACATCTTGATTACTCTTCTTGTAAGCGCCAAATCTACTCCTTGAGCTGGGACACAGGATTCAATGGCTTGAAAAGCAGATGGGAGGCAGCAGCTATGTTTGTTGCTTGTAAGGTTATGAGGATCAGGTGCGATTCTCCACCTAGACCACCTCTCTTTTAACTTTGGTCTTCTGAAAGAAAAAGGAGAGCGCTGCCTCCAACCTTGCTCCCCTTTTCTGTGTAGTAAAAAGGTGTCAACACAGCCCGAGAACTTTGATTCACAAAAGCTCCCTGACAAGGCATTCATTAAGATGTGCTTAGGTAGAGGCTCTCAGGTGAAACCTAATACTCAAACTCCTCCACACTTTTATCTATCTCCCCAGTTCCATTTCTTCTTGAGAACTGCCTGTGTAATAGCTACACCCTTAGAAGAGAAACAAAGTGGAGAAAACAACTCGGGGGGTGGGAGGGGAAATGACAGGAAATAACAATTATAATAATAGAATACTCACTGGGGAAATCATGATTTTTAAATCATGTCTTTAACTTATACTGCTTAACAGCTTGAAATTTCCCTCTAAAAGGTTTTGCAACAGGAAGGTCTATCTGAGCTGCTTTCTACAGTGGAGACAGAAATGCCACAAGTTGCCTGTCACCACAGCTAGTAGGAATACAATGACAAAGTCAAAGTTGAGACCTCCCAAAAGTCAAGCTGACTTCAGAAAAGCATACGATATTGTGCCACAAAACAGATGAGAAAATAATTTAAAACAGATAATAATTGTAATGGGAGCAATGCATTGACTGACAGGAAGAAGACAACATGCTCAGCTGAAAGAAGAGATACAGAGCCGATTGAAGGTTTCGAGTGAAGTTCCACAGAGAATGTTGATGTCAGGAGCCTTATTTAACACTTTACAGGGTTCCTGATCAAAACAAAAACAAAATTGAAACTCCACCCCCAAAAGGCACAGGGGTCTGATGAATTATGATATTACCACACAGAAGAAGGTCACATTATTGTACAGGAAGTTCTGTACTGTCTTCAGGGCTGGAACGATACCACCAGAATGAAATTCAATGGTATGAATGTCATAGCACAAGGTGAGGAGACTAATAAGATCTGAAGTACTGTGTGCATAATCACAAGGAAAACATCTGGATGTCACAAGGCAACACAGAGCTGCCAATCAAGTGACGTGTGGGGAAAAAAGACAAGCTGATACTAGGATGTCCCAGGTGAACTGACCTGTCTTCAGTGAACAAAGGAAGCACTAAAGCCACTGTATGAAAATACTGATGAGGCCTGATCAGCAGTTGTGTAAAATGTTATGTTTAACTGTTCAAAACAAATCAATTTAAACTATAAGAAATAACAGAAAAAAAGGCTATTATGCTGACTGAAAAAAAAAAAAGTCTTCAAGAAGGCTCAGAAAGCTTGGCTTGTTTATTCTAGTGTAAGAGAGCCCTTGATATATAGCAGGGAATTTTACCTTTGTGAATCCTCCCCATCCCATACACTTTCCCACTATTAATTAAAAAATAGCTTTTCAGCTATGTGGTCAGGCCTACAACATTCACTGTACCCTGAAGAAACGTTCTATTACTTTTCCAAGACAAGCTACAGAGATGACACAGGTTACTGACACTGCTGAATTTGGATCATGGACCATTCAGACTTTCACCCTACGTTTCATCAATGATCTGAATTAAAAAAAAAAAAAAAAAAAAAGTACCTTGGTAAATCTGCAGCTCCTCCTATTTGGGAGGAGCTTCAAGCACACTGTACCACAATTCAAAATACTCTTCACAAGGTAGAGATGAGATGTGAGGGGGGGTGGGGAAACAATAAAAATAGGAGAAAATTTAATGTGGATGAGTGCAAGGTTCTGTGCTTGGGGAACCATGTACACAGGCACCACTGGAAACAAAAGCTGTGCCCAATTCTGCAGAAAGTGTCACTTGGGCTAGAGGGCACCCAAAGCCCAGCACAGGTGAAAGGTGACAACCCACTGCCAAAAATAGAGGCAGAGGTAGGGTTTGAAGCGCTAAAGAATTACAGCCGGTAATGCAGATGAATTAATTCGCTGCTTTACACCGCAGGATTTCAGCCGAAGCACGGCCTTCAGGCCCCCACACCGGACAGGCCAAGAAGGCCACCACCAGCCTGAGGTGGCCCAGAGCAAGCAGCTGCTAGGCCAGCGCCATGGCGGCCCGCAGAAGCCCGGGTGGAAGCTGCGGCGGAGCGGAGTGTCACCACGGCGACCTTTGCTGTGGCAAGCGGGCCAGGAAGAAGGGCTGAGGCTGGACACCCGGGGAACCCGCCTGAGCCGTACCGCCCCAGCACACCCGCCC